AAAAAAAAAAAAAAAAAAAAAAAAAAAGGCCGCCTGCTTATTGGACGGCGGCCCCTTCAGGACGTCCCTTGCATCGATGCCCGCCGCCGCTCGGCCCCGTGGGCGCGCCCTCTCGTTTTCTGGCTCGCTGTGAACAATTCGGTACGCGCACCGCTTTGCACACTGCCCCTCCCTCGATCGCCTTCACCCGCCGGGCCGAATCAAAACTTCGGTCCGATTACGGCGCGCAGCGGAACACAACCTCCCCCCGCGGGCCGCCCGCGCTTAAGGGGTAGGATAAGCCAGGAAACGGGCCTGGCATCCCTCACGAAAAGTAGGTGGCCCCATCAAAGAGCGAGACATCACCGGTCAAGCCCTAAGATCGGACCACTATGTCACTGCAAACCCTAAAATCCATGAAAAATACTAACAAATAGCTGCAAACCCCGATCATCCAACCCTAATACTGTTTCAACACACGGCAGGTTCAATAAAAACAGCTAGTTTCTATAGGCCAACAAAATTAAACATAGGATTCGTGAAAACCCAACAACACGACAAAATCCAACATTTTGTATAGAGTGAAATACTAAAAGTCAAACAATTGTATCTGATTTAAAAAAACAGCGTTTCGATTTTTTTCTCCACAAGCGAGGCCAAGACCTGAGCAAAAAGTAAAATGATTATCAAGGAAAATCATTTACAGCAACTATCCTGTTATAGGACTATAACTCATTTTCAACAGACCGACAAAAAGCAGAGCTTCGATAAAACAACTGCAAGGCAAAATTGAAAGTTGTAAAACACTCAGTTCTAGTGAATACTCGTATATAGGACTATACGCCGTTCTCAGCACATATTGGCCAATATGGCAGTTTTCAAGTTAGTATTAAAATCCTTGTCAAAAATTATATGTTATGTAAATAATAAAACAAACAACTTTTGCCTCAAAGGCACCTTCAAATTCTTAGTCAAAATCAAGTAAAAAACAGAAATAAAAAACAAAAAACTTAAAAAAAGTGAAAATTTCATTAGAAAAAAAATATGTTTTCCCACCAAAAAGAAAACATGTTTGAGCGAACGTAGTTGCAAGCAAGATAACATAATAGTCTGTTCACGAAACCCCCGAACATGTTCGGCGTGTTGCACGACTTATAGGACTATACACGCAATCTTTTGAGATAATAAAAAAAATGCATATTTCAATTCCTTACTAAACTGTGATTCAATTGGTAGTGCTGCTGTAGGCGGCCTAAATATTGTACTTTTATAATCTTTAATACATTTTGTTCAAACACAACATTTTTTTTTTTTGGGTTTTCACGAATCTTAGGTTATCAACAAGCCAACATAAACCTATTCTCATTGCTACGTGCAATCCCACAAACCTCATTCCCCGTAGCTGCTAAAGTCAGGTGTCCAACCCTAGTTTCCACCAACCATAAACAGACGATCACCTACAACATATCAATCCCGCAATCTAACTATTTTCTTTACATAACTATATTAGTCGTCCAAGGCAACCACAATTTCGACAATTGTTCAAGACATAATTCCTATTGTCCGCAAAGAATACAAAAGACAGCAGACGTAAAACAAGCCCTAGTTTCAACACAAAATACTAGCAAATTACTATTTCTATCACCAAAGTTGACCAAACCTACAAAATCATATTCTTTGTGTCTGCAATCCCGCAAACCAAATTTCCATTAGCTGCAAACCCCGATCGTCGAACCCGAGTTTTCACATTTTCATCCACTCGACAAATTCAATAACAGCAGCTAGTTTTTATAATCCAACAAAATCAACAAAGCAACATAGCTCGTGCGGTCAGCTCCATCGCACCTCCGTCATACAACTCTGGCAAATTTTCGCCGCACGCTGCCCACAATTGCTCGTAGACAGGATAACCCCGCAGCATCTCCATATCAAAGACCGAAGGACTAAGCCCTCGATCGATTCCATCAGGTGTGAATCAGTTATAAACCAGCTGAAACTCTGGCAAATCGCAATGCTCGGATCCTGCCCGTCGAATGTCCACACATCTGCCTCCATCCTTCGTCGTTCGAACAGGATTACTAACCCCAGTCAGCCGGGACTGGCCCATGGCAAGGGCTCTTCAGACCCTCTTGCAGGGTGTCCCTCTTAGTGCCCACACACTCAATCCCCCACATACCCACCACCCCAGCAACAAGCTCTGGCTAGGCACCACCATCTTCTTGACAACACCCATGCGATCCTCCGTTGCCCAAGCACCGCCCCTGACGGCGCTGACACTGAGACAGTGCAGCGACGTCAACAAAAATTCATAGAACGGGCGCCTCGCGCCTAACGCCCCGGCCAGCTTATGCATCGCTGCGCTAGCGCAGCCTTAACGCACGTCGCTTTGCGGTGAACTACTTGGCCAAGATCATCTGAACAACTTTTACCTCAGGGTCACATCAAAATTCTTTCTCAAATTTCAAATATATAATAAAATAAAAAATAGTTTTTTTTTTTTTTTTTTTTTTTAAGCCCAGGTTGTTGTAGAGGTGGGATACGAGACGGATGGTAATCACCCATAGTACTCAACCACTCGTTTGTCCAGATGAACCCCTTCCGAAGACCCCACCTACCCTTCCTCTCATCCTTGTTGCCCAGGCGCACCCCCCCCCCCCCCCCTTGTCCTACCCTAGTGTTAACCACTCAGGACCATAACCCATTGCCATCTTGGCGAAGTGACCTGACCAGACAGG